AAATTGATGTTAGAGGCCATTTGCTCTGGAACAGCCATAGCTGGAGTGCATTTGTAAATCCTGCTATGGAATAAGCAGTTTCATCTCTAGGAAGCAAAACAAAAATTCCCATGATTCTCCAGGACCTTCTTTCCTTGGTAATCCTTCTGATCAAAAAATCCTTCGGCCAACCTAGCTCAGTCACACACCGCAGATGTTTTCTCACTGACCAGGAATTGAAACCCCTAAGCAGAAGTAAATTATCTGAATAATGGTTGAAGAGAAGTGGAGGAGGGAAGTCTGATAATGGCAACCACTGCCATCCTAAAACAATCCAGAAACCTCATGTAATCACCTCCATCATCTTTCTCTGCTCTAACACAGGCTCCCACCACTGTTTTTACATGAAACACACACACACACACACACACACACACACACATAGTCTGTCAGCTCTGAGCTTCCTTCCCTTCCCTTTCCTGTGGGGGAGCCAGTAAGTGAAGAAAAGAGAGAAACCTGGAATCTGGCTCAGCACCACCCTCATAAACTATCCCAGAAATCAGATCACCAAAAGTTCTTGACCAGAGTATTCTGCACTGCAATATCCTCTTGAGGAATGGCTACTAATGGACTATAAGCAATAGCTAGGAGCTGGCCAAAGCCTGGTAATTTGCACACCCAAATTATTAAGGACAGTAACGAGCCACTGAAAAAATAGGAAGCCATAAGTCCACAGTGAGACCAAGTAGATAAATAATGAGGGAAAGGGGAGGGCCTTTGCTTATGATAGAATACCATGTGCTGACTGGTAAATATGAAGGGAATGCTGGAGTCAGAAAATCATCATTGGTTCAGGCAAGAATTACCAGTAGATGCTAAATCTAGGGGGAATTTTTTGATGAGGAGGATTTTGCATGGACTTACAGTTTTCTCTTCACAGATTGTTTATTAGTAGCAAAGAAGAGGGAAAACAATAATTATATAGTGGAGAAATTGGGCAACACCTTGACCCAAAATGACAACAATCTTTTTTTTTAATGGTACTTCAAAAATATCAGTATCATGAAAAACAAAGAAAGGGTATTTCAGATTAAAGCATGCTAAAGTAACAGGACACAGTGCATGATTCTAGAGCCAATCTTATATGGCAGGAAAAATTGGTATAAAGTATACTATTCAATGGGCTTCCCAGGTGGCTCAGTGGGTAAAGAATCCATCTGCAATGCAGGAGTCACAGGAGCCTCAGGTTCCATCCCTGGGTAGGGAAGATCCCCTGAAGGAGGGCATGGCAACCCACTTCAGTATTCTTGCCTGGAGAATCTCATGAACAGAGGAGCCTGGCAAGTTACAGTCAACGAGGTCACAGAGTTGGACACAACTGAAGTGACTGAGCACGCACACATACTATTCAATAGGTTAAAGTAGTGTAACAAGGTTAAATTTACTGAAGTTGGTAACTGTGGCTATGTAAGAGAATATCCTTATTGCTAGGAAATACCCATTGAAATATTTAGGAGTAAAGGCCATGATACCTGTAAATTATCTTCAAATGGTTCAGAAAAAATGTTATGTATATCTCTCTATCTATTTGGTTCCAGGGGAGGAGGGAAGGGGGCACCTCAGTGTAAATGATAAAGCAAATGGGGCAAAATATTATCAGTTGGTGCGTCTGGGTCAAGAGCATGTGAGTGTACTTTGTACTATTATTGTTATTTAATTTCAAAATTAAATTGTCTCAAAAGTGCAATTGCTCCCTAAATTGGTCAAGAATTGCCATCTAGCTACCTCTTAATCGCTTTTTATTGTGTGTCCAGCACTTTCCTGGGCCCACTGGGAAGCTGTAAATGATGTTCCTACCTTAAGGAAGCTTAACATCTCTTGAGAATGAAGTCTCTCAAATGAGAAGCAGATAAGATAAACAATTTCAGCAGGAGGTTTTTGAAAAGGAAGAAGAGATCAAAACAGGTGGATGGGGTCAAGAAAGGCTTCAAGGAGAAGATAGGCCTGAACCTCAATGGCAGGATTTTTTTAACTTTTAATTTTGTATTGGGATATAGTCGATTAACAATGTTGTGATAGTTTCAGATGAACATCGAGGGGACTCATCTGAGTTGGGGCTTTTCAAACACAAAAGGACACTGCTTAACTTCAGTTGCTTTCAACTGGAGCCCAGGTTGCTTAGCCATTTTGAAGGTATTAGAAGCCTGGTTCTGTACCTAGAGGCAGTTGGCCTTCTCACTGCTCAGCAAGTCCCTAGGAACTGGCTCTCGGCACCCCAGCAGACCCTTGCCCCCATCTATGCTCTAGCAAAATGATATACAAATTTTAGTTAACCAAGCCATTTTCCCACTAACTTGCATTAAAATATCAGCCATTTGCCTTCATTTCTGATTTCTTTTGACCAGCCAGTCACTTCTAAGACCTTTAGGCTTTGTGATGCATTCATCTATGCATGCTCAGTCATGTCTGACTCTGTGACCCTATGGACTGTAGCCCACCAGTCTTCTCTGTTCATGGGATTTTCAAGGCAAGAATACTAGAATGGCTTGCCATTTCCTACTCCAGGGCATCTTCCCAATCCAGGGAGCGAACCTGTGTCTCCTGCATTGGCAGGCAGATTCTTTACCACTAGTGCCACCTGTGATGTAACAAGCACCAAAATGCATTAGAAGTGGGGTCGACAAACGGTGGCTCACAGGCCAAATCCAGTCACGCTCCCTGTGTTTATATGACCCTCATGCTAAGAGTGGTCTTTACATTTTAAATGGTTGGAAGAAATACAAATAATAATAAATTAGGACATGTGAAAATGAAACCCACACATGAATTCCAAATTTCAGTGTCCATAAATGCAATAAGGTGCACAGTCACGTTCATCCTATTATGTATTATCAATGGCTGGTTTTGGTCTATACTGAACAATAAAATAGTTTCTGACACCATGTGGTCTGTGAAACCTAAAATATTTGCCTGCTGGCCCTTTACAGGAAAAGTTTGCTGACCCATGGCCCAGAGCAATGGTTCCCACTTTGGGGCAATTTTGCCCTACAGGGGACATTTGGCATCATCTGGAGATGGTTTTGTTTGTCAGAACTGCGGATGGGGTAGTATAGTGTGCTACTGACATCTAGTAGTGCTACAATGTACTACATTTGTGCTACAATGTAGTAGTGCTACAATGTACTGCCATCTAGGAATGCTGCAATGCACAGGGCGGCCTCCACAACAAAGAATTATCTGGTCTCAAAAGACAATAGTGCTGAGGTTGAGAAACCGTGGATGGGAAGAACCTAAGATACTTCTAGTAAAGGGGAAACTCCATCCTTAATAGGGATTTCCTTTAGTGATCACCCACCTCCTTAGTTTACAGTAGCTCATGAAACCGTTGCAATCACCCCTGCAAGGGAGTTGCTGATATTCTTTTACAGGGAGGTTTTGACCACAACTTGCCCCTAAACACACACAGCTAGCAAGTCTGTCTGGCTCCAGAACCGGTATTTTTCCACACCTCCAGGATGCCGGGGGCTCAGTGACGTCACGGGCGATTGTTGTCCCGTTCGGCTGCTCTCTAGTGTGCGAGTTGCAGATGCAGGCCAGCATCGTTTTCCCTGGTACCCCTTCCCTTCAGAGGTCTCCAAGGGCTTGGTGCTGAGAGGGTACCGACCACCTTCCAGTCTCCAGCATCTGGCTATTTGGGAAATGAAGGTGAGGAAAGGAAATTCCACCACGATTGTGGCCAGAATTATGAAAACTGACCACTGTCCTTCTTGCTCACTTGAATGCTGGGAGAGACAAGGAAACTTTCCTCTCTAGTAGACCCTATTTATAGAAGGCTTTTGGAGTCATGCCCATGAATTTTCAGGATGTTCACATCACAGTAATAATAAGAGAAGCCATGCAGTGCAGTCCTTTTCCTTCTGGAATTAAAACTCAACCAACTCTTATTCTATAGGATCTGGCACTCCACTTTCTCCATCTATTATCCTAGCTGAGCTCAACGGATCAGTGAAATCCATGCTAATGAAGGAAAAGTAAAGGACTCCCCCCCACCCCCGCCACAAGCCTGTGGAAATTTCAAACCCAGATGGGGGGTGTGAGCACAGCAGCCCAACCAGGAAGGTTGCAAACAGGCTGATGGTGCCTCCCTGAGCCCCTCCAATCACCCCCTTGAAATGAAGCCACCACCCCTTCTAAGGCAAACCATGATGTGTGCATCACCTAATAATCACACAGCCATTGAGCATTTCTTTGAATTTTATTGAAAATTAACATGGACATTAGAAAGGTGTCAAGCTAAACAGTGCTGGTTTTGGGATGTTTCTCCTGGCGAATGACAGCCCCAGAGGGGCAGTGACTGGTCACATCTCTGAGCAAAAAGAACAAAGGAGAAGAAAGGAAGAATGAACAGATTTTGGAAAACATGCAAAGAGGCTCTCTCAAGAGACACGGGACAGTGGAATGGCAATGGTCATAGGGCTATATGGGGATGAGCACACTCACATGGTATCTCGATCCAAGTTAAACCAATGAATTCAGGGTAGATTTATCAACATCAAAGCTCTCTCTTCAGGTCCCACATTGAGCAGAAGCCTCTCTCAAAACCCCAACTGGCCCTGGAAGGCTGAATGGAGTAATTTTGCTCTCACTAAGCTTAAACTCCCCCATCTCTCCTTTCCTTTCTCCACCTGAATGTTAGTAGATCCACTCGCCCCACTTGCTGAGGGGTCTGCAGAAGGTCTGTGAATGCTGAAGAAGATATGAATGTTGCTTGACTTTCTCGTCCATATTCAGAAATGTTTAATAGTGGCTGTAGACAATCAACCCATTGAACCGGAGAAATGGTGTTTAAAAGGAAAAACAGAAAACTCAAATGAAAAACTTGTGAACAGTACTTCCACACCCACAGCTGAGGTCTCCTGCCTCAGTCACTTACACTTGGGTGAGTCATCCTGCAGTTGTCTCTCTGAAGTTACATTGGGTCCATTCTCCAGCTCGGACGGATCTTTTCCTGCCTTGTTAGGTTAAGATAAGACACTTCCACTTAAAATACCATGTAAGTTGGGAGAGAGCTTCTTGCCTGGACACATGAACACTTGTTGAGAGAGAGAGTGTGTGTGTATGTGTGTGTGTGTATGCACGCATGCACACACGTGTGTACGCACACAATTTGGAAGGAGAGGGAATTGGTTGGTTTCTGATTTGAGACAATATGGAAACCCTAACTCTTCTATAATGGTAGTCTTCTCCTTTAGACTTAGTGCAGCTGCTGAAGACAAGATTAAAAAAAGCTGGAGAGGGAAAGAGAAAGAAAACATGAAATTAGCCAAAGAAAAAGGACATTCAAAGTAAGACAGGGTCAGGGAGGTGGGCAGTGTGAGGTAGCACAGATTATACATGGAGAAGACAGGTGAGAAATGGGGTTACTGATGGGCCATCACCACTGGAAAATCTGCTGAGAAGGTTTTAAGAACACCACACACCAATTTCAAGCTTCTTGTTTTAATTAAAAAAAAAGCACATATTGACAGCCACACGTGAATGCCAAATGATTAAAACAAAAAAAAACATAAATGAAACCAAAAATGATCTATTCTGCATCTTGGAAAAGCAAACTTCTTGGCTTAAAAGAAATGAGGTGTGTGTGTGTGTGTGTGTGTACACATGGGGATTTTTCAGGAAAACCATTGCAGTCCAGGGTGGGGTGGGGCGGGACACAGACCATTTCTAATCACTGGTTTTGTTTCACCAGAAGTAAACAGAGCGTTAGGGTAATTTTTTTTAATAGTAACAATTATACTCAGTAAAAAAAATCTTTTCACTGAGGAAGGAAAAAAATTTTTCTGTTTACAGTGAGACAAGCTACCCGATACAATAAGCATTTTATTTTACATAGCCTTGGTTGACTTTCTAAAGGCCTCAAGTTCATGTACAAGTTAGATTTTTGTTTACCAAACTTCCTTGATGACAAGGGTCATCTCTGGCACCTGTTAAACTTCCGCACTCACATGCCTCATTCCAGACTCCCAGGAAAGCTGAGCAGCTAACAGGTGTCCATGACTCTTATCGTCAGCAGAAGCACTCAGTTCAGGGATGGGACTAGAGTTCTCTGCTTTGCCCATCCCTGCCCACCCCATCCTTGAATATTTTTCTATGGGATAAAAACCTCAAAGGCACTCTAATACTATTCATTTTCTCCTGAACATCAAAAGACTTGTCTCCAGGAATGAACATGAACAGATTGAATCCATTTGTGAAACGGGTCGGGTCTCAGAAGACACTGAATTTAGCCTGACTTTTGCCACGAAACAGCCCTGGGACCTCTGGCAAAGTCCCTTCATTTCTCTGCACCTCGATTTCCTCTTACAAAAAGTGGGTCCTACCTGTCTTCTGGACCCAAATGTCTCCCTTCATACAAAATTCCTGCCTAGTCTCTGAAGGTCTCTCAAAGTCTGGGTGGCTCTAATACATTTTGAAGTTTTCAGAACCACTCAAACCTCAAGTAGTTAATCTGTAAATAAATGTAAATGAGGGGACCTCCTATTTGTGATGCAAATAATTACTGGGGGGGGGGGGATGGAGACCGTTAGTTGTTTAAGTTTGGGATTCTTGGGAAGCAGCTGTGAAACTGGTCAAAGCTGCAAACAAGAAGCCTTTCCCAAGGAGACTTGACAGCCTTAACTTAGCATCTCCCTGAGCCAAGCTGAGGATCCAAGCTTTTTTTTTGGCTTTTAAATCTCTGAGCATAGGGTCTCCTAAAATGCTCCACTGTGTGACTTGGATTTTCTCAAGAAACTAGCTTCTGCTTTGGCAGCATCACCTTCATAGCTGCTTCTGGCCACCCACCAGTCAGTGAGTCACCAAACAATACATCTCAAAACTGCCCTCTTGCTTTGCCAACAAGAAAAGATAAAGTGTGTGCATTCGTTTGCTTTCCATTGTTTCTACTTTTTGCTTCCTGTTATTATCTATTATTGAAAAGAGAACACCCCCTCCCCATTCTCAATACTTCAAAAAGGCCTGAAAATTTGGCATAGCCTTGTTCGATTGTGTGTTTTCAAAGCAAGTGACCAAAAAATAAATCTCAAAAATAAAAAAGGTCATGGTCAATGCCAATGGGACTGTGAGGCAGAAATAGAAAGAAGAGGTGGGGCTTGAAGTGGAAGAACATGGCAGGGGCCGGGGACCCGGCTGCCTGGCACCCCAAAGGAAAGCTGTCAGTTACAATAGGAACCTTGGCTTAAAAGGCTAAGTGGAGTCCAGTCCAGCTGTAGCAGGGAATACTATTCAGTACACAGCCATGGATTACTGCAAAGGAAGGGCAGAGAAACGGCGTGTTAGCCATGGATCATTGCCAGTCACCGCCAGCTCTCACTTTCTCACTGGTCAAACACCAAAGTCCAGGGTGCCTCATGGCCCTGACAAGGGAGGGCTCTCAACTTCAAAGGGGTTCCCAAAGCCACTATCAGAGAGGCCCCATTATACAAATCCGGGCTAGAAGTTTTCAAATATCAAATCCTTAGAGGCAAAGTTAGGGACCTTCCAAGGCACAGCATCTCTTTTCTCTTCTCCGACTGACAGTCTCACCTCTTCTTCTTATTGGGGGACACATGCAAAATACAGATCACATCATCATCAAATTCACCAAATAAATAGACTGGAAGATTCCTCAAAGCCAAACTAAAAACACTAATTCTTGAACCACTCAGTCTGACAGTTTACGACACGGGATGCTTACACCTGCTACTGGCCCTGCCTTGTTGGGATGGTGTGGCATCCTCAGGGAAATTACAAAGGAGATGTGAGACACCTCATAACAATTCCATAAGACACTATGCTGGTACTAATATTCAGGTTTATTCTCCCTCCTGCATCTGTGGGGTACTCAGAATTACAGAGAGGGGACATTTATGCTATTTTCTTCAGCAGTCGTGTTGTCTGGGAAGGGCTGGGTGCAAATAAACTCATTCCAGGTTCTTAACAGAGTTTGAGTGCAGTCACTTTTGAGTGAATCAAAACTGGAAAGGGCTGGGCTGACCGAAGGATCTCCTTCTGGAACTCTCTGAGGAGAGGCTGTGGTTCCTGTCAGGGGCTTAGTGGTGGGTGGGGAAGCCAAGTGACTGCAGACTAAGGGGGAAAGCCCTGCTGACTGGTGCTCACCCAGCCAGGCTGGATGCAAATACCTCGGGGGAACAAACAGCATTCGGAGTTGGAACAGGGAAGCTGGTGGTGCCGTGGAGCAGGCAGAACCCCTGCACATGTTACAGTCAAAGATGGGGCGGGGAGTGGCCGGCTGGGGGCGCTGGGAGGGGCACTGGGATGCAGGATGCAGCTTTAAACCACGTGACTGCTGGCTTCTTGCCCAGAGGCCAGACAAGGTCCTCAGACTCTCGGGCTTCTATAAACCTTGGCAGGAAGAAAGGGGAGGGCACGGGTTGTGTGCCCCGCAGACGTGTTAAGGGGGAATTAGAGAAAGGGAGGCCCAGCTCTGTTGCGCAGGAAAAGGGCGTCTACAGGAAGCCCAAACTGAAAATGAAAAGAGAAGTTGGGTTAATGAATGGATGGATTAATGTAAAAAACAAAACAAAGGTTAGAAGAAAATTGTCATGATGACTGATGGATAAATTAGAATATAGCTATGTTAGATGGTCTTAAGGTCTTATTGCATTGGCTTCTGGGGACATGCTTTCTCTCTCATTCACCCTCACACCTCTGAGTGTCGACTGTCATGGTATCAGCAAGCAAAATAATCAAGAGCACAAGAATCCCTTTTCTCTCTTCTTAATGACTAGGTCCTGACTAGTGCTCCTGACCCAGACACCTTGTACAGGAACACCTTCAGCAAATCTTCAAGTGGCCTCAGGCCACAGCACAGAGTGCCAGGCTCTCAACCAGTGATGGCCTCACCCCACAGTGAATGCCAATGGGGTAGAGGTTTCACCTTTGAAGAGCCCCGGTCCACTAACTGGTCCCCCAGGGCAAGATCTGTTTGAGAAATAGCTGGAGGTGGTGACTGGCCTCTGCACTAGGGTCTAACCACAGTCACCTGGAAACCCAAACAATGGAAATCCATTATTGGTTTGTGTTCACTCTGCACTTTGAACTTTCTCCCATTCAAACTTCATCCTTGTGACATACATGGGGGCAAGTTGTATTGGTCCCCATTTGACTTATGAGGAGGCTGAGAAACACTGCGTGGCCAAATGACTTGCCCAAGGTCACAAAGAGTCACAACCCACAGGAGCAGAGCCTGAATCCCTGGGTTGCTTGATTGTGACTCTCCTCACCACAGTGTCCCTGAGAACTCCTTCCCTGTGGACCCAAGCCCCTGGTTTTATTTTATTTTTTTACCTGAACACATTTCTCTCATTAAAGATATTGGGGAGGGATAGTTAAAAGCATAAGCTGAATCTATCTGTACAGTCACTTCCTCAGAGTGAATACACACATATACACACACACACACATGAGAATGGCAGTTTATACTAGAACTAGTTTTGCATTCTCATTCCAGTTCTGCCAATAACTCCCTGTGTCAGCCTCGGTAAATCCCTTAACCCCACGCCTCCATTTGTTCATCTTGTGAACTGAAGATCAGCACCTTCCTTCTCTGCCTCACAGGACTGTCATAATGTGAAAATAAGATAGCGTGCAGAGAAACACTTTGAATAGTATTAAAACATCCTATGAAAGCTCAGCTCTCCTGTTCTTCCTTGTCTACTTCCCAAGGGAAAAGAAACCTATAGAACACTGCAAGGGCTTATGTCCTGGGCGGCCTGGGAAGGCTGAAATACTTTGCTAGGCGTACTGTCCATATACCATACTCTGCCCCCGCCCCCCAAGCCAGAGTACCTACAACTGTGTGTGGGCCACAGAGGAAGCGATTTGTTGCAACTGCAGACGGCTACAGGCAGCAATCTCTCTCTGTTTGGTTTGGAACTGCTCTTGTGGTCTGCTAGGGAGAAGCATGCCAGAAAAAGCCAACCTGCTTAGGGTCGGGGTTGGCTGTTCCCACTGTTTGCCAATTGACTCTTGATCATTAAGTGTGGCTTTAATTATAGTTTTGATTTTAGTTATAATTAATTTTAGTTATAGTTTTAGTAATGGCCACTACCAATGATTTACTCGGGGAAAGCTGAACAAAACTGTGTCAAACCACGTTAATTTGGGTTTCATGAACTGAAAGCTAACTGAGCAGGATGCATCTTTCCTATTTTCCTCCTTGAAAATAGGGGAACCGAGGAAATACAGGGGAACCAAGGAAATACACGTGAACCGAGCATCAGCCACTCTGCTGGGCACTAGGACTGCAGCCATGGACATACACTCCAGAAACTGTGTCTTCCTAGCTTTCATTCAAGTCAGTGCACAGGGCTCCAAGTCTTGCCTTTAAGCCAGGCAAGAAATCATTTCATTGTTCTTTTAGGGTTGTTTTCTTTGGCCCAATTTCATGGGCCTTATGTTTCAGAAGCCTCTATGGACTTCCTCTTCGGGATTTGCTTGAAAGTAGGATGTTTTGCCAGCTGCCCAAAGTCCCCAGTGCAGTAGCTGCAGCAATTATTTTGGTGACTAACAGCAGGTTCTCCATTTAAATCATAAACTCCACGGTGAGTGCGGAGAAGTCTTCTCAATATTTTATATTCCCCGATCCAAACAAACCAAATGTAAAAGGCATTTATGAGACAACCAGGGTATTCTGAACATGGGCTAGAAAATTTTATGTGAATGAATTGTTAAATTTGGAGGTGTGATAATGGTGGCATTGTGCTTATTTTTTTTAAGAGTCATTAGCTCTTAGAGATCCATGTTGAAGTAGTGACAGATGAAATGAGATGTGTTTTGCTTTATAGTAATCCAGCCAATTTGGGGGCAATAAATGAGACAGGACTGGCTTATGTTGACAGTTTGGGGGCTGGGGGGTGGGTACATGGACCTGATTGTATTATCCTCTCTCTTCTTTTGATCCTGTGTGAAAGTTTCTATGATAAAATTTTAAATGGTAACCTAATTAAGTTAGATTGAAAATATTTGTGTTCCTCCCCACTCACTACCTAAGTCTAGTAAAATAGATGGAAACTTAATCACTGCTGTAATCAACCTATAAACTATGTGATGCCAGGGGCTGCTTTATTTACTCCTGTTGACATAACACCTAGCCCTCAGGAATGCATCTTACTAACGGTTACCTGTTTATCTCCTTATCAGAGGTGTTCATGAAGTTGGTACTTGTAGATAGAGTATAAGGAATGCTCTATAATATCTAACTCTTCACTTTCTTCCCCTTTTATTATGGTTTTGGGAGACTACATAGCCAAATGAAATTAGAAAATTTGAACCCCTCAGATAAGAAACAAAGAAAACAGAGAAGCAAGTTTCCATTGACTTTAAACCTTCCCAAACCTGGGGCTCAAAGCTGACCGTGACATTGCAGGACAGGGCTTGTGAACCCAACAGTTCCCCTCATCACTACAGGTTAGTTAATTTTGAAAGTAATGATGAAGTCTCCTTAAGAAAAAAAAATGGCTAAAATGGAAACCTCAAATACCTATCACAGGTTCCACCCAGGCTAGGTAGAAAAGTCTGAAAACACCCCACTTTTAATCAGGAAGGCAAATATTACACATGTACACTTGGAATCACACCAGACTATTTCCTAATATTATAAGTCACAAGAGAAAACCGGCTAGAACAATGAGGCAGCTTCTTTGATATTAGGTATGTGTGTTGGGCAGGGGGTGAGACTTGGGGATATGTGTTCTAGAAGCCACTGCCAGTTCTATTTAGAGTTAATAAAGCTTACCAGGGCCCTGGGTATCATGCAGCATGCAGCAAACAGCAGAGTTAACTGTAAAACAGTAAAAGCTGATGAAGATGGAATGAACTTGGGGAGAAATCAAATATTATGAATTGATGCAAACAATGGAGAGTTAGAGGTCAAAGGAGATTAGGAGGAGTGGGGAGGGGAAGATGGGAGGGCGGGCTGGTAGGAATCCCCTGAAACACCAATACTCTTTCTTAACTTCTTTAAGGGCAGCCAAAGGAAATTCTCAATAGATGACTCTATTAAATCCAACCACCATCTCTCCAGAAGAAATGCTTCTACCCCCACTTCCGCCCTTCACCTGCTCCCCCCCGCCAACCTCATCACCATGGGACCAGAGTGACACCAGGCTAAAGATGGGTCTTCCAGAGGTTAGGCAACTGTTCGGGGAATTACATAAGAAGCCCAGACCAGCGGACACATATATCTGAAAGTACAGAAGAGAGCAGGCTGTTTTGTCAGGCTCTCTTGTTAATAGAATGTGCCTGGTGCGAGTGAGGTTTTCACTCATCTCATAATTTGAAAAGGGTGCCATCACCAGCTCCAAATATTCCTGGAAGACTGGAGAGACATGCCTCCTTATGTGGGGTCTTTGGCCTAGGGGTGGGGGGTGGTCAGTTAATTGGAGGCAACCAGGAGAAAGCCTGGTCTGGGAAGAATTTCCACTGAACAGCTCAATGGGGACTATTTATATAGTTGAGTGTCAGGGGGCTCCCAACAAATGAATCTCCTAATTCCGGCCAGCAGGCTATGAAACTGCCCCAGGGATCCTGTTAACAAACACCACGGGACTGTGAAAGCAGCAGGTTAGAGCTAGAAGACTAATTTAGACTTTTATGATCTTAAAAATAGGAATCCATTCCTGCTGCTACAACTAACACACCATTACAGGTCAGTTAATATAGAGTGTGTCCAAAGAGGCTTTGTTCAGGGTAGTTGAATTTTATCAGGTAATACAAAAAAAAAATGAGATCGTCAGTGATTTTGACATACAGTGTTGTGACTACGTGACAAAAATCTCTGAACTAATTGGTGAAAATGCCCAAATGACACTTTTGAAAAAACAATAATCAGATGGCAAAACTTAGTGCCTTCAAAGTTAAGATATTTTACTGTTGCATTTTATTCTTGGTGAAATGTGGTACTGCTTTATTCCTAAGTGATGAGCCAGGAGAGAGAAGAAAGGAAGATGTTTCCTCCTTCTGGCCAGTAACTAGCAGTGGAGTCCAGCAAAAAGTGGCTAAGAACAGAAGGCAGTGACGATGGCCATGTTGTAGATCCTCAGGCCACTTTAGTTTGGCTCCTCCAGTCACACTGCCCGAACAACTAGAGCGCAAGGGACCACTAGATGTTTTCCTGCTGTTGTACAGGTCCCGTCGGAAATGCTTTTCTCTTCTCTGGTTCTGGGATGAGGAATGGGTAACCCCAGCAAGCGAGGCTGGGGCTCGGGTCAGCATTCTTGACCCACATGGTAACCAGGAGCCCATACGTCCTGTGTCGCCAAACCCCAGGGGAGACAGACGGATGGTACAGTCATTCCCCAGTGGAGGGTGGGGCCTGCAGAGGATATTAGCATCTGAGGATTCCCTGCCAAGCTCCCAGCACCCCAGGCTGGGGACAACTAAGCACCCAAGAGGGAGGGACAGGAAGGGTGAGAAACCAGGACTGGGCTGCAGCCTTCAGCGGCAGTGCTTAAACTCTGTTGGCCACAGCCCTTAGAACTGAGGGGGGTGAGGGAGGCTCCAGGGCTGAACCCCTCAGGCATAGGATGAGCGAGCTGGCCTGGGAGCCCTTCCAGCTCCCACCTCCTGGGGGAAGAGGGGGCCCAGAGGCTTCTGCTACCCTCTCTCTGCCCTTCTTTTCGTTCATCTCCTTCTTGTAACTTCGCAGATTCTCATTGTTTCCGCCTTTCTTCTTTCTACCCTCTCACCTGTCTTTTGCTTTTCCTCCCCTTTCCCTCCCTCTCCTGCCTTGAGTTGGCAGGACTTTCCCAAGTGGGCGGAGCAGAGGGGCTGGTCCTCTGAGGCCACACACAGCCCTCGCCTCCTCTCAGCTCCTCAGATGTAGGGTATCTGTGGGGCCTGTGGGGACACCAAGACCAGGTCCAGGGGCCCAAAGGAGCCTATCAGCCCACAGCTGGCCTCTGTCACAGGCCTGAGGGGATGAGCAGGAGCAGAAAGAGGCCCTCACCCCAGAGCAGCCTGCCACTTACTTTTTCTTCTCTTTGTCTCTTTTCAGAGTCTGTGAGCCTCCAGCCTGGGAGCCCTGGGACTGGAGCAGCTCGGCCGCCGTCTTCCTCTGTTTGAAAGCGTTCACTTCGTCATCCAGGGATTTCTTCTTATCCTCCAGCTTCTTCTTCTCATCCTGGTGTAGTTTCTTCAGACGGTCAAACTTCTCATGTAGCTGGCAGGGAAGCACAGAGGTTTTGGGGAGAGCAGAGCTCAGTTGAGCAGAGCATGGGTCGGGGGATGGAGGGATGGAGTGGGGGAGGGGTGGGGACGGGTGGGCTCGTGACCATGAAGGACCCTGGGATCCAAGGAGACATTTCTGCCAGGGACAGCTATGATGTCACCAAAGGGCGTCATGTTCTGAATGGTTCTCTTCTGCCATTTTATCTCCACATTTCTGCTCCTGAATATGGTCAGGGAACCATGCATTCTGTCTAAATCAAGCATTTTATTTAAAAGAGTCCCCACAGTTACTACATATGAAAAATAATAACATCAGTTATAATGTAGAACATGTATTGAGTGCTTATTGTAGGCCAGGTACTGACTTTTCTAAGCATTTTATATCTATTAACTCATTTAATGATCACAACAACCCTATGAGGCAGGTTCTGTTACTATCTGCATTTTATGAGGAAACAGAAGGTACGAGAAGTTAAGGAATTTGCCCAAGGTCAACGCAATCTTGAGGTGATCATATAATGAGATCTCTCAATAGGAAAGGGGTCCCTGCCTTTTCTTAGCCTCTCCAACCAGGGAGGCTCATTGGAGATTGCAGAGAAAACTTTGACAGTGCTGAAGCTGGTCAAAGAAAACACTTGTCCGTGGATGTGGAAGGAAAGACAAGAACTTTAGAAAATGAAATGAATGTGGAAACCTCAGCTTTGATCAAGGGGAGGCTCAGCTAGCCCTGAACAGAGTCAGAAACCCAAAGGAGAAGAGCAACAATGTTCTAGCATGTTACTGTGATAAGTGGATCAGGGAATTAGGGGTGTGTGTGCATGCATGCTCAGTCGTGTCTGACTCTACACCCCCATGGACTGTGGCCTGTCTTCTGTCCTTGGGATTTTTTCAGGCAAGAATAATGGAGTGGAGTGCAGGTTGGATCCCTGAGTCAGGAAGATCCCCTGGAGTAGGAAATGACAATCACTCCAATACGTTTGCCTGGAGAATCCGGTGGACAGAGGAGCCTGGTGGGCTACAGTCCATGGGGTCACAAAAGAGTTGGACACAACTGAGTAGCTGAGCACACACACACTGGGGGTGTAGGTGATTAACAAACTGGAATGTGATAAAGTATCCTGAGTAGCAAGAGCAGCTCAAGCATCATTTCAGTCTCTTTTGAGGATTCAGGAAGGAATAGAGGGTTCTGCAGCCCTCACAGCACACCGTGGAGGAGGCTGGGTGTCCTATAGGTATCTGGGCATGTCACCAAGGAAGGGGTGGTGGATGACAGACTTGTTGGGTCAACCAGCTTCCGCTAGTCACTCAGGGTAGGCTGCTGGTAGAAGCTCTGCTGATCAGTGGTGTCCACCTGGCTTTTGCTTACTGGCCTTTCATTCATTCAAGAGATCACCTTACCTCTCTTCCTAAAAGTTCCAGGTGACATTTTTCTTTTGAAAAGTGAAACTGAAATGAAGTCAATTCTCTTGCCATGGGCTTTGGCAATAACACTTGGACAGTCTTGGCAGAGGAAGAGACTTGGGAAGTAATTAAGTGCTGCCTTTCTTTATGGGTTTCAAGGCCTAGAGAGCTGAAGCAGTTGCTGACATGACCAAAACTATGGCTGAGGCCAATTAATCTGGCAGCAGTAGGAAATCAGTAGTGGGACCTTGGAGGCAAGGCCATGGTGCGAGGGCTAACTGCAGTCTATTAGTCACGGCTTAAGTAAAGTCCAGATAGACCATCAAGCCTTAGTTAAAAACTCACTAGAGCTGCACAGATGTTCTTTAGCACTAGCATGAAATGGAACGGAATACTCAAGTGGGTGGGGAAACGCACCAGCTGTTACTGGCTTAGGATTCAACACGGTACCCAGGACTCCCTGGAACCATCTTTCCCCAAGGCCATCAGAGCAGGCAGGATGGGGCAGGACTGCCAAGAAAGTGATCAACTGTCCCTTCTGAGCTATGAACTCCCAGAAAGGGGGGCAAAAAATCAGCCTGCCCCTGACCTCGAGGGGCAATGTCAGGTCCCAAGTGTTGAGCGGGGCTGCCCAATAGAACTTTCTGCTGTGATGGAAATGTTTAATATCTCATAGCCCTGAGTTGCATGAAGATTGAGCATTTAAAATATGGTGAATGCAAATGATAAGTAGAGTTTTAAACTTTATTTAATTTCAGCTCATTTAAATAGCCGCAAGGGCTAGCAGCTACTATATGGGACAGTGGGGGTCTAGAGAATTAAATAACAAAGAGTGAGAAAATATCCCGGCCTTGGGGACTGAGGGATGGAAAAGACACAGATCTCCCAGCCTCTCTGTGCCGGCCAAGGCAGGGCTACAGATGCTGTGTCCCATTCCCGTCTGAGGCCCCAAGGTTCCCCCAGCTGCTCTCTTGGGGCAGAAACCTTTGTCTTGCCTAAGTTCAGCCTCCTTTTCCTTCCCACCTAGCACACCAACCCACATTTTACCTCTTTCTCTGCCTCTTTAAGTTCAGCTTCTTTCTCTTTGACTCTCTGCACAAACATCTGTCTCATCTCCTCTTCTTTTTTCTGGAGCTCCCCTAGGAACTCGTTCCTTTTGGCCTCATATGTCTCCTGTAAACTGCGAACATGGTCAGGTTAATTTCCCTGCCTTTGGAATGGTTCTTGTTCAATGAAAAACAGCCCCAATGATCCTCCCTGGGTTCCCCCACCCTCCCTTCCTCAATTCTTGGAGACATGCAAAAGCAGAAGCACAGAGCTGTGGGCACCTGGCTTTGAACTGGGAGTGACTTGGAACACCTGCTTCTATATTCTGAATCTACAGATAAGGCCCAGAGAAATGAGGCAGACACACAGCAAGATCACACAGCAAGTTAGAGGCAGAGCTGGGACCTGATGCTGGGTTTCCTCTCATAATCTAGGTCCTTCCATCTGCACTATGCCACCAGGTCCTGGCTCTGAAACTGACCACATTAATGAGTTCAACAAACACTTGATGAGACTCTACCAGGTGCTAGACACAGAATTAAGTGATACTATGCTAGTCACTCAATACCTGGAGCCAAAAGCCACTGTGCCTGCCATCAAGGAACTCCCAGTCAGTGGGAGATGCCTAGGTTATGTCTCCCTGCCTCCCCCCCGCCACCCCAGCCTGGATTTAGTTTTATAGAAATAGGAGTTAGCCTGGTGAAAGAAGAAGAGGGTGGGTGCTCTGAAGAGGGTACCCTGTGGAAAGGCACATGTGGAGAAGGAATGGCATATACCTGAGGTGTCAGGAATGGCCCCATGTGGCTGGAGTAGTGGAAGATAAGGTTCCTGAGAGTTGCAGGAGAGAGCAGGCGTTGGCCGCCCTGTTAAGACTTGGACATTTTAAGCAGGGCTGACTTGATCCAATTTGAAAATGGGAAAGACCACTCTGGGCATTGCGTGAAGGACAGACTTTCCAACAATCAAAGTAAGAAATGATGGGATCTTGGGACCTCCCTGATGAGCCAGTGGTTAAGACTCCGCCTTCCAATGTAGGGACATGGGTTCAATCCCTGGTTGGGGAACTAAGATCCCACATGCCTCGGGACAACTAAGCTCGTAGGCAGCAACTACTAAGGCTGCGTTTTCTAGAGCCTGTGCATCACAACCAGACAGCAGGCCTCAAGCCACAATGAAGATCCTGCATGCTACAATGAAGACCCGATGCAGTGAAAGAAAGAAAGAAGGGATCTTAATGTGAAGGCTGGGAGGGTAAGGGAGACCAGTGAGGGAAGCAGAACTCCAAGGACTCGGGAGGAGTCAAAGATGATTCAGGTGAATGGAGAATGAGTACGTTTAAGAGGGAAAGTGATGAATTAAATTTGAGACAGCTTGAGTTTCAGATACATCCTCTATGGACGGCCAAGTGAAAATATCCAGTAAGCAGTGGGATCACTGGGTTTGAGCTCAAAAGTAACATTTTAACTTAGGAGTGATCTATTTCTAAATGGTCTTTAGGACTGTGAGAGCAGAAAGAACCAGCCACAAAGAGTGAGAGTAGCAGAGGCCCTCGGAAAGAACACGGAAAGGAAGAAGTTGAATGAAACAAATCTGCCAAAGAGACTGAGAAGGAGTAAAACAGTGTGAGAGAGGACTCTAACCAGAGAGACAAGTGCTAGAAAAGCCAACCGCAGACAGAATTCAGGAAGGAGGGAGCGGGAAGGAGTATCAAGCACTGTGTTGAGATTTTTAACAAAAAGATAGGGAACTTCCCTGGTGGTCCAGTGGTTACGACTTCAATGCAGGGGGTGTGGGTTTGATCCCTGATCAGTGAGATAAAATCCCACATGCCTCACAGCCAAAAAACCAAAACATAAAATAGAAACAATATTGTAACAAATTCAATAAAGACTTTTAAAATGGTCCACATTCAAAAAATTCTTTAAAAAAAAGAAGATGGGGCTCAGAGATCACACTGGAATATGTGACTGCTGACCTAGAGGCCTCTCTACTCAGTGGCATGGTGGGAGCAGAAGCTAGTAAATACGGAACCATTCTCTCTCCTTCCCATCGCAGCCAAACTCCTTGACAGGGCAGAGGCTGGTGACAAGGAGCAGAGTGAGGGAGAGTTTTTTAGGATAAGAATGTCTGCCCACAAGATGGAAAGGAGCCAGCAGAGAGAGCGTGCAGAAGGCAAAGATGTGAGAAACAGAGGTAGTCAGGATGGAGCCGAGGAGGAGAGGAGGGGACTAGAGGACATCTCTTCCCCCACAGATGCAGATTAAAGCAGTCTGAAGGGTAGGAGGGAGAAAGCTAATGAAACACCCATCAGAGAGACCAACAAGTTTTCCTTCAACTCCAGGGGCTCCAGCAGTCCCTGTCCATGAAGGGCAGTGAACTTACCCCTCTGGAACCAGACATCCCCAAAGGAATGGCTAATCTATGCCTCCAGGCTGGCTTTCTGCTGTGAACAGGTTTTGTAGGATCTGAGAGGCCATTTGAAGGCCTTCTTATCCCACAAGCAAGCCCTTTACTTGTTTATCAAGGCCTGACATTTCCTGAAATGTTCCAACACAGGGCACTACATGTTACATGGTAATTTACAACGTGAGGCTTACATCACATATTATGCATATCGATCAGATACTTATTCACATAGCTCCCATCAGCATAGTTATTTGAAAGCATTTGAAGCAATGCTTTCAAAAACTTTCCTCTTCTCTGAAAGCATCTTAGATTCTGATTTGAGGTGTCAACGATTATTCACATCTGGTGGTCAAAACAAACCTTGCACTTGAACACAAATGCTAAAGGGCCGTAATAAAGAGCTGGAAGTTCATCAATACGTGTGTGGTGACTGCTGCCAGGTCCCACCTGGTTTGCATCATGGGGAGAGGGGTAAAGAACAGACTGGAAACCTGACAGAGCAGCAGGAGCCTGATGAAGAATGTGGGTCCACGGGCAGGCACAAACTGCCATGTTGAAGCACAAGGCCCAGGCTCAGGGCTCACAGCTACCATGCGAATGCCTGTGGCAGCAAGACCATTGGCCTTGCCCATCCCCTGGCCTCCTCCCCGAAGCACGGCAGCAGGGCTTACCAAGTACACCATGCCACAGCATCCCCTGGCAGGTGTCCCAGGGCAGAGAAGGGCCAGGCAAATGGAGCTGGTGAGTGACTTAGCCTTCCAGCGCTAGGTCTGGACTCCTGTGTCTCGCCTCCCCTGTGAATTCTCCAGGGCAAGGCCTCCCCCTGCCTCCGGGTGGGCTGAGTTGAGCTGGGTAGTGCTGGTGGGAGAGGTACCTGAAGGGTTTGCTGTCAGGGTCGGTGTCCTTGAAGCCCATCTCCTCCAGCTTACAGCGGCGGTACAGCTCATAGTGCCGGCTGTGGGTCTGCTCTCGGAGATCCTCCATGTTGACTCGGATCAGCATCTCCCGCAGCTTCACAAAGTCACAGTGCGCTTCATTTTCAACTGCATGGCAGGGGTTGAGATATTGAAAGTCCATTGAAAGGAAGGCCAGAAGAAGCAGAAATGGTCAAAACGAGAGGTGAAATGTCTAATGGTGACATCACCTTTTCACCTGTGTATATAGAGCTCGAGATGTTGCCTTCTAATTGGCTTTTCTACTAAAAAGGCAGATGAAAAATTATAAGAATGACATCTCTCAGTAATGGAAAACAGCAATACCATAAAAGTATCTAGGAAGACATCTGGTAGACATTTAGACTCAACTCAAATTTACCCATCAGACACTCACAGGAATGTTTGCTTCGCACCACTTTTAGGACAATGGCAAATGGACATTCAGCCATCTGTCTGATAAATACTTGCAGAATCTTTGTCTCCAGGATAGTATGAGGCACTGGGAATTCATACACATGGGGTCTTGCCCATAGGAGCTCCCAGTTTAATGGAAGAACAGATGCAAACACACAAATGCAATACAATGCAAAAATTACCGACAAGAGATATATAGCCAGGGAACCACAGAAGCCCAGAAAAGGGAGTCCTGAGAACTTCAGGGAGCATGAAGACTTTACTAAAGAGGGGACAGACCCCTAGGATGACTCGTGAAGGAAGACTAGGAATTCAGCAGGAGGATAAGGGACTGACTCATCCTTGCAGGGTCTCATTGGGGTTAGGCAATGTTACAGCTACAAGTCACAGGGTTAGGATTCCAATCCAGGTCATCTAAGGAATAGGCAAAGCCTATGACCAGGTATCAAAGTCCACAGAATAAAAGTGTAGAACTAGGACATGGCTAGATGGTTGTGACAAGGAGGGATGTGAGCCACAAGTGTGGCCCATTTGAATGGTAGATGCTTCAAAACAGGTATTTTTAAAGGGTGAATAATGGCCTGATGGCAGCAATGGTGACTAGGACAGAGTGTCTCCAGGCACGGTTCCACCTTGCTGGAATAGGGGTGTCTGGCCTGATCACACTGGGACAGTGGCTTCTGAGATGAACAGGCACAGTTACCCCAGATTCTGTTTCACAGGTCTGGGAGAAAGTCATGGGGGCCGTGTGGAGGCGGTGTCTGGAATGACAGCATGGGGCAGGGTGACAGCAGACTGCATTGCGGTGATCAGAACAATCTTTCCAAAGCCCAGTTGGGCTCATGTAACCCCTCTGGCTTAAGACCCACTGCCTTCAGGAAAAAGTCCCTCACTTCATAAAATGTATCAGCGTATCAGCCAGGCAACTTCCCAGCACCACTTCGTCCTCCATCCCCGGAGAGTAGGCCCCGGTGGCGTCAGAAGGAGTGGCTCCAAGGTTGCTGCGAGACTCAGACAATGCATAGTTTCTCTTCCTCAGAACTCCATGTAAGTACATGAAACAGTTTGAAAATTCCCTTTGTTGGTTAGGTGCGGGGTGGTCTGAGTCAGGGGACGTCATTGGGAACATGTCTGTTAGCTTCTCCTCATGTTGCCTCAGGTTCCTGTCTCTCAGACTCCAAAATTCACTCCCAGGGTGGGACTGTCCGTCCAGAAAGCATTTGCAAATGTTCTGGGAGGAACAGCCCCAGCACAAATGGTAAAGAAGACTGGAAGCTAGCATGGCTGTCATGACCAGAGTGGTCCCATCCGTGGAAAAGCCAGCTATCACCAGAGGGTCTCTGGCGTGGATGTTGGCCTTTGACGTGACGTGGACACGGGATGAGTTTATGGTAAACCAACCACCCTCTCACATATGGTAACCCTGACTAGTACCAAGGGTACCTTACTTAGCACGAGTCAGGCAGACTGCAAAAGGAATTTTCTCAAGCCTATAGGCAATAGTCTGTTTTTAAACGGCAAAGTAATCATACAAACAAAAGAGTGATTGAAATGTACAGTTTAAAGGATAAAAAAAAAGGACACCAATGTATCTATGGCCCAGGTGAAACATTACCAACTCCCTAGATATCCCTTCCTTTTTGTTTTTTGGTAAACTTTGGCCGCGCTGCAGGATCTTGGTTTGATCTTAGATCGAACCTGCATCATCTCCTGCTTTGGAAGGCGGAGTCTTAACCACTGGACCACCAGGGAAATCCCCCTTTGAGTCCCTTCCTGATCTCATTCATGCCTCTCCTTCCCTGCAACAAGACTTAACCACTGTCCTGACTTGGGGGATTATCCTTCCTTCGTTTTTCTTTATAGTTTTACCATTTACGCATGAATTCCTAAAGTTCAGTTTTGTCTTACTTTTGGATTCCATATAAATGGAATCATACAGCTTGTATCTGTCTATGATTTACTCAGCTCAACATGCTGTTTGTGAGATGCATTGCTGTGGATGTATAGTCATCCATCTTCACTGTTGTATAATATTGCATTATTTGAACATTCTGCAATTCACCCAATCTATTTTTAATGGCTCTGGGTTCTTTCTAACTATTTGCTATCACAAACAACACTGTTGTGGACATACTTGTACGTCTCATACACTCAAGTGGGTACACCTGCTTTCTCATACTCTCTGTCCTACCTTATTGCAAGTACATTTATTTTTGTTTTAGGAATGTTTTCTCCATTGGAGACAAAGAGCTTGCTCAGTGCCGAGAATCCAGGTATGGAGCCAAAGTTTGCCTGCTGGTGACCCCTAGAGATGCCTGAGGCCCAAGATGAATGAGTAGAAACTGGGGACAAGTGAGGAATTGGTCACATAGTGGCAGGGGACAAGCAAAGGGACAGACAGAAGGGGATTGCTGAGCGTAGCCCCTCTCCCGGAGATTCACTCACCTTGCACGGTGCCCCAGGGGTATTGCCGAGCTTTCATCATCTTGTTACCTATCTTTAGTTCTTCTGTGCTGCCAATGACAGCAAATGGCAGGTGGGCCTGAAACAGGAGGCAGACAAAAGCTGAGAACTCCAGGTAAAGGCACTGAGTGACCCCCAGTACAGCTGCGGCTCATCGTGGGGGCCTCGGCGCCCCTGCCGCAGTGTCCCTCACTGCCACCACCATCAGGAGGCATTTCATAAGCTCCCAGGCTGTGTAGGGAGAAGAGGCCTACTCCAAGCTTTGCCTGTTCAGAAATTCACAATAGAAGGTAATCAGGATATGGCCGAGTGCGTAGGGAACAAAGACAGAAAATAAGCAGAATAATAAGCAGATACACAGATTAGCCAGCTATTCAGTCTTCATGGTTGCTGACGCGAAGTGCCTTTGGAAGGCAGGTGAGTGGGACACAAGGGGCTATGTGTGGAGAGAGACTAAAGGAGAATGCAGGGGGCTGGAACCACTGCTTGCTTTTCCCAGAGTATGAGAGCCCCAAGAGGAGACATGTACAGAAACCACACTGTTGACTGAGGTGGACGCTCCTGGTCTCATACTATCCTGGAGCAAGAGCTTGCCCCGAACTCTCGAGCCTAGAAGTCAAGTCCCCAAGTATTTACCCACGTGCCCATCACTGAGCTGGGTTCTGTTTCAGGGGCTTTAAAGGGAAACAAAGGGAGTAGAAGATTCACTCCCTTGCCCTCTGCGAGTTTACCATCTGTTTAGGGAAAACCAAATTCCATACCTGAAATCACAGAAGACAGAATATGCCCAAGGGCTCAAATGTACAGTCTGGCACCCCGCACACAATAGGTGCATAATAAATACTCTTTGAATAGCCATGGGCATAGCAGAGGAAAGAAAAGTACAAACAGGGGGGTATGGCTTGGTGCTTGAGGTGGAGAGGGATAGTGAGGCACAAGGCCCAGTTAATGAGACTGCTTTCATGCATCAGAGAAAAGGCAGGTGCCCCCAGTTGTAGCGTGAGGCCTGGGACACGCTCACAATGCTCCATTCCACAGGAAGTGCTGAGTCACCACTGGCCAAATGGAACCACTGATTAAATACTGTTTACAAGCCAGGTAGAGCTTTACTCAGAAGGGCTTTACACAGAGAAGCAGAACGTGCACTGAAACAAGCTTTCTTAGCCTGCTTGGACAAACAGGCCTCGATCTCAGATATTTTGACCCACTTCATAGTCAACAAAAGAGTCTGAAATGCAGTACTTGGATGCAATCTCAAAAACAACAGAATGATCTCTGTTCGTTTCCAAGGCAAACCATTCAATATCACAGTAATCCAAGTCTATGCCCCGACCAATAACACTAAAGAAGCTGAAGTTGAATGGTTCTATGAAGACCTACAAGACCTTCTAGAACTAACACTCAAAAAAGATGTCCTTTTCATTACAGGGGACTGGAATGCAAAAGTAGGAAGTCAAGAAACACCAGGAGTAAAAGGCAAATTTGGCCTTGTGGAGTACAGAATGAAGCAGGACAAAGGTTAATAGAGTTCTGCCAAGAGAACGCACTGGTCATAGCAAACACCCTCTTCCAACAACACAAGAGAAGACTCTACACATGGACATCACCAGATGGTCAATGCTGAAATCAGATTGATTATATTCTTTGCAATCAAAGATGGAGAAGCTCTATACAGTCAGCAAAAACAAGACCAGGAGCTGACTGTGGCTCAGATCATGAACTCCATACTGCCAAATTCAGACTTAAATTGAAGAAAGTGGGGAAAACCACTAGACCATTCAGGTATGACCTAAATCAAATCCCTTGTGACTATACAGTGGAAGTGAGAAATAGATTTAAGGGACTAGATCTGATAGACAGAGTGCCTGATGAATTATGGACGGAAGTTCGCGACATCGTACAGGAGATAGGGAGCGAGACCGTCCCCAAGAAAAAGAAATGAAAAAAGCAAAATGGCTGTCTGAGGAGAGCTTATAAATAGCTGTGAAAAGAAGAGAAGTGAAAAGCAAAGGAGAAAAGGAAAGATATACCCATTTGAATGCAGAGTTCCAAAGAAGAGCAAGAAGAAATAAGAAAGCCTTCTTCAGCGATCAATGCAAAGAAATAGAGGAAAACAATAGAATGGGAAAGACTAGAGATCTCTTCAAGAAAATTAGATACACCAAGGGAACATTTCATGCAAAGATGGGCTCAATAAAGGACAGAAATGGTATGGACCTAGGAGAAGCAGAAGATATTAAGAAGAGATGGCAAGAATACACCGAAGAACTGTACAAAAAAAGATCTTCACAACCCAGATAGTCATGATGGTATGATCACTCACGCTCACCTAGAGTCAGATATCCTGGAATGTGAAGTCAAGTGGGCCTTAGGAAGCATCACTAAGAACAAAGCTAGTGGAGGTGATGGAATTCCAGTTGAGCTACTTCAAATCCTGAAAGATGATGCTGTGAAAGTGCTGCACTCAATATGTCAGCAAATTTGGAAAACTCAGCAGTGACCACAGGACTGGAAAAGGTCAGTTTTCATTCCAATCCCAAAGAAAGGCAATCCCAAAGAATGCTCAAACTACCGCACAACTGCACTCATCTTACACGCTCATAAAGTAATGCTCAAAATTCTCCAAGCCATGCTTCAACAATACGTAAACCATGAACTTCCAGATGTTCAAGCTGGTTTTAGAAAAGGCAGAACCAGAGATGAAATTGCCAACATCTGCTGGATCATCAAAAAAAGCAAGAGAGTTCCAGAAAAACATCTATTTCTGCTTTATTGACTATGCAAAAGCCTTTGACTGTGTGGATCACAATAAACTGTGGAAAATTCCGAAACAGATGGGAATACCAGACCACCTGACCTGCCTCTTGCAACAGTTAGAACTGGACATGGAACAACAGACTGGTTCCAAATAGGAAAAGGAGTACGTCAAGGCTGTATATTGTCATCCTGCTTATTTAACTTATATGCAGAATACATCATGAGAAATGCTGGGCCGGAGGAAGCATAAGCGGAATCAAGATTGCCGGGAGAAATACCAATAACCTCAGATATGCAAATGACACCACCCTTATGGCAGAAGAACTAAAGAGCCTCTTGATGAAAGTGAAAGAGGAGAGTGAGAAAGTTGGCTTAAAGCTCAACATTCAGAAAACTAAGATCATGGCATCTGGTCCCATCACTTCATGGGAAATAGATGGGGAAACAGTGGCTGACTTTATTTTTTGGGGCTCGAAAATCACTGTAGATGGTGATTGCAGCCATGAAATTAAAAGATGCTTACTCCTTGGAAGGAAAGTTATGACCAACCTAGACAGCATATTAAAAAGCAGAGACATTCCTTTGTCCACAAAGGTCCATCTAGTCAACGCTATGGTTTTTCCAGTGATCATGTATGGATGTGAGAGTTGGACTATAAAGAAAGCTGAGCGCGGAAGAATTGATGCTTTTGAACTATGGTGCTGGAGAAGACTCTTGAGAGTCCCTTGGACTGCAAGGAGATCCAACCAGTCCACCCTAAAGGAGATCAGTCCTGGGTGTTCATTGGAAGGACTGATGTTGAAGTTGAAACTCCAATACATTGGCCACCTGATGCAAAGAGGTGACTTATTTGAAAAGACCCTGTTGCTGGAAAAGATTGAGGGCAGGAGGAGAAGGGGATGACGACAGAGGAGATGGTTAGGTGGCATCATCGACTCAACGGACATGGGTTTGGGTGGACTCCAGGAGCTGGTGACGGACAGGGAGGCCTGGCATGCTGTGGTTCATGGGGTAGAAAAAGAGTCAGACACAACTGAGCGACTGAACTGAACTTACATCCTACTATGTACCAGGCATTACGAAGAATACAACACTGAAAAAGCTCAGAGCCTAGACCTGGCGATTGTACAGTCTGGGAGGGGAGAGACACACACTGTGATGATAACACAGTAAGGTCCAGACTATGAACAGAGGCTTGAGGGCTGGAGGAACACAGAGGAAGGAGAACTTTCACGGGAAGTCAAAGCAGGCTTCACAGAGTAGGTAGTAGCAATCATACTTAGAGATCGGGAGCTATAGACCTGATATTAGCAGCAGTTCTCTGTCCCATGTGCCAGGTGCTCTATGTGGCATTATCTCATTGAATCTTACAACACTAGGAAGTAGGTATACTTATTATCCCCATTTTATAGAAGACAAAACTGAGGTCCAGAAGGGCCAAGAGACTTACCAGCAGTGCCACCATAGTAAGGGGCAGAGTTAGGAGTGGAATCCAGGTCTCCCTGACTTCAAAGCCCACCCCAGCTGGTCTGCCACTCCCTTTTGGGGTTCGAGCAGCAGATTAGGGGAGCACTCTAAACCCAGGGGGTGAACTGACCAGGCAAGGCCAAATTGTAAGAGGCAGTTTAAATCTGACCTCACAGTCAGTACTTCCTTTCTGTTCTCCTCTAGCCCTGCACCCCAAGAATGTTCTTCAGAGTGGAAGAACACAGGTGTCAATTGGGAGCTCAGCTCCAGCACATCTGCTAAACCACTCCCCCTGCCCCGAAGAGGTGCTGGGCCTTCACCCACTCTCAGTTGCTCTCCGATGAGTATCTCAGGTGTTACCACATCCCACTGCTATGACTGTCCCCAAAAAGGGGACAGAGGAAAGACGGAAAGACAAGGCTATGGATATGGAAAGTGGGCGAGGGGTGGAGGTGGGAAATGTTTTGTCAGTCCTAATAGGGCCATGGGCGGGGAGGGGGGGTGTGAAATTCTGGAAACCCTGCCTAAAGGCCGAAGCATCCCTGACCTTGGCCAGCTTTCAAGGTCAGACAGGGGCGGGGTTCATTTGGGCACAATTCATTCCCCCTCAGAGAACCAAGACATGCCGGCAGCCTCCAATTCACCCCCAAACACTTTCCAGGAAAAGGCTGCCCCACCTGCAGAGACCTCAAAGCTTCAGTCACTCGAAGGGGCATCCATGACAGAGGGCTAGACCAGGGGACTGCTGGTGGAGCATTCCCACACATCCTGGGCTCTCAGCTGAAAGTGATGCAGGAGGAGGGTATGTGAAGTGGGAAGTACTTCTCTGGACTTAAGAGCGAAAAAAGAAATCCA